GGGGGGGGGGGGGGCGAGAGGTGGATTTTATAGGTCACCCCCGTCAACAAAGGGGATTTTTAGATAAGACCAAAGCTGTAATTGAATAACCACAGAGCGAAGATCTGTATATGAGTAAAAAAGAACCAGAAAAAAAAGGAGAAGTCAACCAGATGAGGGCTAAGTTGTTTCTTTTTTTAAGTGCTATCGAGCTTCGAGGCCCCTGATGCAAGTCGGATTATGTCAGCCGCTTTCCCCGTGCTTGATCGGCAAAGCATGTGCTTTGGGCTCTGACAGTTATAATTCCTGACTTTCTTCTTATTTTTACTTCATTCCTTCTTGAAGATCCTATGTCTAATCATGGATGGACTTACAGAAGCCCTGAGCAAAACCCCCAAAATTTCAAGAAAACGGAATAGACCTGCTTCGCCAGACAAGTCGCATTCAAGGTCTTCCTCTCAATCCAAGAACTCACTGCAAGACCGCCTATTTACAAAGTATGCTTGAAATGAATTTCTCCCTGGAGAGACGCAATTTAAAAATGTGGGGGGAGTTCGTTCTAATTACTGATGACGGCAGGCTTCTCCAACAAGTCATCCCAACGGACGATGAGGATGAAACCGATTCATTGGGAGACAAGGCCCTTGCCTCTCCTCAGAAACCGGCTTTCAGTTTGCCTGTAATGGCAAACAATTTCCGCCGCTTTAATGCAAGGTAGGACTGAATCATCCCCTGGGATATCACCCAAAACTAAAATCACTATAGAATCGGTGTGGTATTTCTGTTCCAAAGCCGTGTTGAGCAACTATTTACTTGGGACACACCAACCCATACCATCTCTTTCCTTTTTGTCTACTCTTTCATCTGCTTAGAACCTCATCTACTTTTGGTTTTGCCCCTAGTGGTTCTCTTGCTCTTTGTAATGGTGCCAGCCTTTGCGACTCGTCACCCACCACCACCAAGCACATCGACGTCTAGCACTACTCCTTATTACTCCTTTGATGGACCAGCTCTGGCACCAGCCAGGACTATTAAGCCAGCTCCAGAGACTTCCAAAGATTTTCTTCGGAATATGCGGGATCTACAGAATTGCATGGCTGATTTCTCAGACGCCCACGATGCAGCTATCTCTGTTGTTGCGCCGTTGACGGATTTCTCCAATGAGAAGCTCTCTTCAATTATCTTTCTTGGATGCACAATTGCCACGGCAGTATTGTTTATCAGTGCACACCTGCTCCCCCTCAAAATTGTGCTGCTTGTTGGCGGCAATGCGTTGGTTCTCGCAATCCATCCAACGGTAGGGCAATTTATCTTCGCTCTGGTGCAAGATATGACAGGTGGAGATTCCATCAACACGGGTTCGGATGAGAAAGATGGGTTCGCCTCTTCAGTCCCTGCAGATCCATCTGCAGCGATGTCGGCCTTGGAAAAGCTTGCAGACATCTCCTTGGACACATATCCCGAAGAGCGGGAGGTGGAAATATTTGAGTTGCAGCACCGGACTCCAGGAACGTCAGAGTCTGGGTGGGAGAGCTTCCTATTTAGCCACGCCCCATACGACCCGTTATCACCACCTCGAATCGCCGGGGATCGACCTCGTGGATGCCGATTCTTTGAGGATGTCCGTGCCCCACGTGGCTGGGCTTGGAAGAGTAAAAAGTGGGAACTCGACCTAGACTGCCGTGAGTGGGTGGTGGAGCGCATGATCACCAGTGTTGGGTTCGAGATCCCAGACGTAAATGCCAAAGGCAACGCCATTGTGGGAGAAGTTGGTGGTTGGGTTTGGGACTTGCCTCCAACTCGGCAGGAGTCAGATGATGATTTGACGTCAGCCTACGGAGACCTGCCTGATTCACTGTCCACCAAGGAGACCAAGGGCAAGGGGAAGGAGAAGGCTAAATCACGGGATTGGGAGGAAGGGAATGCGTCCTACGGAGTGGGAGAATGGAGACGTCGACGATGGGTACGAGTGGTGCAACGAATAAGCCTTCCGCCGGCGGAGGTTGTCACCTACTCGACGCTTAGTAGTAACAGCTAAAGGAAACATGAGATAACGAATCCAAGCGGCTCAGTGGCCGTCCAATAATATTTACTTCGGGACACACTTATCCACGTAGACACTTTTAAGAAACAGGAAAAGAAAAACGCCAGACTCGCCCTAACCAGATGCTCGGAACAAATGAACAAGGCATTACAACTGACTCTTCTTCCACTTGTTAATTCTCCTCCGCAAATCACCCTCGCTCTGCTGCATAGGATTGAGCTTTCGGTCACGAGTCATCGCAGTGAAATTATCCCCGTGCTTCTCGATCAAGCGCTGAGCCCACTCGCCCTCGCGCGAGCTCTGGTACCGCGGCTTCTTAGCACGAACAGTCTTCCCCTCCTGATCCGCCTGGCGCTCAAGCTGCTGCACAATCACCGAGTCTGCGAGAGGGTTGCTGTCACCATTGCCGGCCAAAATATCGTTCAGAGGATCGTTGAGAGGGTTGTTGCGCGAGCGCTGGAAGCCTGCCACTTCGATGTTGTCTTCGTCGTCGTGGATGACGCGCAGAATTCTGCCAGTCTCGGGATCGCGCTCTACTCGTGTCTCGCCAAGGTCAAGCTTAGCTGCGGCTGCTTTGGCGCTGCCGCGGATGTGCAGCGAGTTCTTGATTTCGGGGTATTGGTCCTTGTTTCCGGGGAGGCGTTCGCGGCCACCGGATGGTGCATTCAGCTTGTGCATCAAACCAAGGCGTTGGTAGTTTTGTGTCAGGGTCAGATCGCGATCCCTGCAGATGTTACTATTTTGAATTTTTCAAGGTGGGCAAGATTTGCATACCAGTTGTCGGCGATGATCTGATTGCCCAGCACATTGATCTTCTTGTGGCCGCTCTTGAGGCGGCTGTCCTTGGCACGGGCCTTGGAGCGCCCGGAGCGGGCTTTCTTCTTTTGCAAAACTTTACCCATTGCGAAATGTGAAGTGAATGTAGAGGTCAAATTGGTTCTTCCTGGCTGTTCGGCGATAATAAAAAGCGTTATCGAAACTTTTTTTCCCGAGTTTGCAAGTCTTGGCATGTTTGCTCAGGGTCCCGCGATAAACAACGATAGCGGTTTAGCTGTACTTCTGTACTGAGGTGTGTCATTTCGCCTGTCACTTGAACAGAACCTTGGCCAAATCCTCTGCAATGGCTTCTCGCTTTTTTCCTTCACGTCGAACAGGAATTGCTCTTGTTGCAGGATGTATTTTGTTCTCAGCCTTGGCCGCCGCAAGTGTTGGCCCCGGAGAGCTCTCCGTGGGCCAGATCGAGGAGCAATTGCAGGTATGCTACAAAACGTACTTTGTGCTCTACCTGTGAACTAACTTGCCACAGAGCTGCCCACTTGTAGAATCTCTTAACGAGCACAAGCGTGCAACGCGCCCAGAGACTACTAGCTTGGCATCGAAGATCTTCGCTGTCCTCTTCCCGGGCACCCCAGCGGTGAACGCGCTTCTGGCAACTTTGTACATCTCCGGTCCACCCAGTGAGTCTTCCCCCTCACTACTCGAGATACATCTCTGCTAACTTGCTCAGACTTCCTCCTGGCACTATGCCCACCTAATATTGATCCCTCCTCGCTGTCAGTGATGGTCGCATTTGCCGTCGGTGGCCTACTTGGCGATACTCTCTTCCACCTACTCCCCGAGATTTTCGTCGGCGAAGCCTCCCCCGACCACGTGAGCTTTGTAATGGTTGAACCAAACAAGAACCTCCTTCTCGGCCTGGGAATCATGGTTGGATTCTTCACCTTTGTCGCAATGGACAAGGCTCTGCGCATCGCGACTGGCGGCGAGGGCGGTCACGACCACTCGCATAACCACGCGCACGCCGAATCAACCGATGCGGTCACATCTGGCGCCAAGACCAAGAAGCCCAGAGGCGAGCTGAAGAAGCGCAAGTCTGCCGCAAAGGGATCTTCTGAGGTCATTGCCGAGAAGGAAATTAACCCCAGCGTCAAGCTTGGAGGTTACCTTAACCTCATCGCCGATTTCACCCATAACATCACTGATGGCCTTGCCCTTTCTTTTTCCTTCTATGCCTCGCCTACCATCGGCGCGACGACCACTGTGGCTGTCTTCTTCCACGAAATCCCCCACGAAGTTGGTGACTTTGCTCTGCTTATTCAGTCCGGCTTCTCGAAGCGCAAGGCAATGGGCGCACAATTTATTACCGCTATTGGTGCTTTCTTGGGTACCCTTATTGGAATTGCTATCCAGGAGTTTGGCGGCAACACCACTCTGGATGATACCGAGCCTGCTGGTCTTATGGGAACTAGCCTCACCTGGGGTGATATGCTTCTTCCATTCACTGCTGGAACTTTCTTGTATGTTGGTACCGTGTCTGTGATTCCGGAGTTGCTTGAGACCGGCAAGGACAAGGGTGTTGAAGTGCGGAAGACCATCACTCAGTTCTTGGCTGTTGCCCTTGGGGCCGGCATTATGCTTGCGTAAGTATCCGTCCCCCTGCGCCCTATCAAATCACCGCAAATCTTCGCTGGTATAACTATCGCTGACACCCTTTTTTAGTATTTCTTGGGATTGATTTGGGCCTTTGGTCTATACAGGTGTACATCGGCAAAATTTGCATCATACTGTGCCTAGCACTTTTGAGCTTTGGTGCAACGACAAAGCTCCATGCCTTTGGTTCATCTGGTTCATTGAAAAAGATACATACGTGGCGCCCGACTAGTAAATAGAACAAGGCCCGTTCAACCAGGCACTTTGGTGTTTACATGAATAGGTAGAATTATCTTGCGCGAACAGGCAACCGTTTATTTGAGATGGTAATAGCCAGGTTAGAGGCCAAATTAAATGCACAAGAATCGTCAAACCAGTAACGCCTTTAGAGCTAACTCCACTCCAACATGAATGAATACCCAGTCATATTCCTTGGTAATACACAGAATAATGCAAAGTCAATTTTGGACTTCGGGAAGCAACCATGCCAAGTAGGTATGAAATGATAAAAAGCCTCAACGGGAAAAAAGAAGCCGAGATGAACGTTGTTAACGGCGAAGAGAGGCGAGAAAAAGCATGAGTTGCGCACAGCGCAATGTATGCAAGCGAAGTAGGCGTTAGAAAGGGTTGGAAGCCATTTACTCGTTATAATGGTAGACCTGAAAAGCATGTCAGCAAAATTATCCCTCTCTGGAAACTGGATGAAAATCGAAACATACGAAGTAATCCGGGAGTCCAATGACCTCGTATCCCAGTCTTCGAGCCATCTTCGCGAAGCCCTCCGTCTCCACCAAATGAAAGAACGGGAAAGCGGGGAACATGGCACCGTCACGATGCACATCAGCCTTGACTAACAAGGCCGTACCACCAACACCATCAAGAGCCAGCATCTTCTTCGGATCAAGATTTTTCATGTCGGGCAAGTGAGCCATCAGGGTACGATACGTAGGCATCTCAGCGTAGCCTTCCAAGAGAATTTCATCAGGCCCCATGTTCGCGGCGAGGTTCTGCGCGGTCTGGCTATCAACCCAAGAATTGAAGTCATAAGGCCTGACATCCCACTTCTTCTTCGAGGAGTCGTAATAGCGCTGGAAGCAGTTTGGTACAATAACCGGCTGATCGAAGGCCGTGAGATCCTGTATGAGAGCAGCCGGTGTCTCGACAACGTCGCTGTCCAGCCACAGGACCCACGAAGTCCCGGGGCCAAGCGTTGTAAACAGCAGGCTGTTTCTCGCACGACTCATCGACTCGCGGCGCTCTTTCTGCGCAGCCATTGCATGGCGAGCCTTCTCATCCTGGGATTTCAACGGTGGGTCGAAGTCCTGGCGAAGGATAGTAATGCTCGCGAAGCGGTTGTCGATTGGCCCCGATTGCGTCTTGGCAATGGCCTTTTCCAGAGCCGCAACTGCAGCGTTTCCATCGCTTGTCTTCGGTGCGATGAATCCCAGGGAGATCAGCTCGTGCGGATAGCTTAGCTTCTCAACGTTATCCCAGTATCCTTGGTAGAACCGGGCTAGCGGGGTGAGGATAAGGACCCGCTCGCCGTTGGCTATTGAGTCCGCGGTGTTAGTTAAGCTGTTGAGGTCATAGTGGACAACTGGGGGTGCTGCCTTGCGACCATCGCTTCGCACTGGCTGTGATTTGAAGAATGGTTTTGTGGGTGGGGAGAGGGGATGTTCGGCAGCGTTTTCCTGGCGCTGTTGGGAGCTAACGGATGCGGAGGATGCGGAGGGAGTCGAGGGCGAGAGCATGAAACATATGAAGCCAAATGCTAGCAGCGCTGCTAGCACGAGGCTGATTGGGCTCGTGCGGCGCATGGAGCGTGCAACGGCCATGGCCGGTCAACGTTTAACGTTAGATTGGGGATTGAAACGTGTCGCTGTCCAGGACCGTTGACGTTTAGACTGCGGGAACGCCTCAGGCATCAAGGAACCAGATTTATACCTTACCTTGACTCCTCCCCCTGGACGACTATGAAACAAACGAATTTAGCCGTGGGAGAACTTGAAAAGGTCAAAGATTTCTACTATGGATAATGGATCACTTTTATTCTTTGCCCTGTCCGGAAAGAGACAATCCTAGACAACCCCATGTCACCTCACTATCGAGGACCCTTCAACGGCGGCCGAGATCATAAATCCAACTGGATGGCCCAATTATGAGTCGGCACTCGATCGGACTTTAGAACTTGTCCGTGTTATCGCGGGATACTTCAAAGAGGGTCGCGAGTGGTCTCATCGCCGAATGCGGCACATCACTACACAGGAATTTTCTAATTACGGACTGCGACGACCCACGATTAACTTTCTTTGAGGAAATTAACGCACCAAAGCATGGATATGTTCTTTTAAATAATTTTAGAGCCATGAGACTTTCGGTATATTCAATTATTTTGAGTTCAGTAGACCAGGAAGGAGTTAGGGCAAGGTGCGCATCACACCCTCGAACGCAACCAGAGCCATTGCATTCGCCGGGAATGCCCTAAGAAAGCATGGCACGAAGCCCCGCCAGTAACCTCTCCACCCACGCTCATGCCATACGGCGACCGCAGCGTCCTTCCAGCCGCGGAATTGTCGCTTGCCGTCATTCAGCGCACCACCCATGGGATCGGTCATAAGACGCTGCTTAACGACGTCGGACGGGTATGAGGTGAGCCAAAAGCATTGGGCGGAGATACCACCAGCCCAGAAGTTGATGGAAGGGGCAGACAGCGTGGTGTGGTTTTTTAAGTAGCGAGTCAGGACGTCATAGGAGCCCCACCAGAAGAAGAAAAAGGAGCGGAAGAAGACCGTGGCCCAGAGCCCACGGTATAGGCCACTGATGCCATGCGTGCGAAGCTATTATTGTTAGCTGGTGTGTACAATGGGGAGGCACTGGTACTCACCATCTTTCGCAGGCAGTCGATCGGCCCGCTGTACATGCGCTTCGATTTTTCGGCGGCGTATTGCACCTGCAGGCGTGCCTTGACGTGCTCGACTGGGGCTGCGACAAAACTGACCGTTATACCAGCCAATATACCCGCAATACCATGTCCGAAACTAGGAAGGGTTGCGAGGTCTGGTTGGTAGCGCGAGAAGGGGAGGTAAGGACGGATGTGAGGTTTTGAGAAGACGTTTTCGAGTAATAATCGGCGATATAGAGTCAATGAGCCCAGCATACTACAGGCGGTCAGCATATTTCCTCTTTCTAGCGCGGAGAACATACACAGAATCCATAACCATCCATCCGATCAGCGGCGGTGTCGCTCCCTTATAGAACCCTTGTAATCCTTCCTTTCGCAAGGTCTGCAATGTGCAATCTAACGGTCCTCGGAATTGCACATCTTTGCTAGTTTGTAGGCGAACCTTGATAGTATCGAATCTTTACAATTTCGTTAACAATCGACCCAGGGCGAAATGGTGGTTATACATACGGATGGCCAACTGCAGATGAAAAAAATTAGCTCCAATCCCAAAATTAAAGCACAGAAAATAACCTACCGCTGAGCTTTGCAATGCCTGAAAAAACACCCGCTGCAAAACCCTTGTAATTTGACTTTGATGTCCCAGATTGAGCAAGCGTGCTTTCCGCCTTCTGATCCGTCATATCAGACACTGAAACCGGTGTAGGCGCCGGCGCCGATGCCATCGTTCAAGAGCCTTAGTCGTTTGCCACAATCACTAAATAAAGATTGCAGATCCAATGCGTTACAGAATGAATGCCTCGCGCAAATTATAGGGCGCTTGTTTGTAACGCGCGGGCGGTCAAATGGAAATGCGATGACAGATGCCGATAAGGATAGAGTAGTTGGGGTTGCTGGGGTGCCAAGGAGGAGTTTTTCAAGCTGGCACGTCTTTTCTGGGGAAGCTGGGGTATATAAATGACTGTAATGGAGTAATTTATCAAAGCATTATTGAGGAAAGTTTGGTTTCATAATCATTTGGGCTCCGCAGATTCCTCTCGGGGAGAGTGGGTGTTCCTCCGAATCACGGGTGATGCCTTAGGCGCACATTGGCAATGGCTTTCGAGCTAGCCCTATATAGAGTAGTAAATCTGGGGATTAACTTTGAGGGTTTACCTGCATATCATCTCTTATCTGATCCCTAGCTACCTACTTCGTAGTAAGACCCGAGTTACTCGGGACCAATCCCAAAGACAGTACCGCAGGTTTCGGTGACAAGCCCGATAGAGGAACGTCGCACAAAATCCAAAAAGAATTTCAAGATTACCATTTATTGCCCGGATTACTACAAATCAAGCCAGCATTCAGACCTGCGCAATGGGCTGCAAATGCGACTAGGATGGTACAATAGACAGATCCAACTTTTAACCCGCTAGACCAACATATCCACTAAGACTCAGAGAACGTTAGCATTCAACAACCATCGAGGTTGGGAGGAACCCCGTCATAATGCCAGCTGGATCGCTACGACTGTGGCGAAGTTCAACCAGAGGGAATGAAAATGTTATGATGTTTCGGATTGAAGGTTGACACTTGGCTTTCACTTGGTTGTGCCAAGGTCCAAGATTGGATTAGAGCGGGGTATATAGTTTAAATACATGATGTCGTGATGCAAGATCAAACGTAGTGGTCGGCCGAGGCCGAGAATGTTTGATCATGGACAGTGAGAGTGGTGAGAATGCAAAAATGAGAATGGTGAGAAGGCAAAAAATCGAAAAAAAAACCAAAATACCACATGCCCACTGTATCAGCTTTGTGAGGTGAGCTCATTTTGTCCCAAAACACCAGAAAGCGGATATCAAACTAGTAGGTACGGGAAAAGGTCTAAGATAATCCACTTGTCTAATGGATAGTAAACGGAAACAACCGTTGGATGCAAATCCGGGGAGGGATAGATCTATCACCGGCCCTTGGCAGGCTTTCGAGCCATCTGCCGAGCCGTCTCCTCATAAGCAATGAGCTTCTCCATCAACTCAGCTGAAGGGCCGGAGTTCTTTGGAACATCTCGTGGATTACGCTCGGCGGTGTTGCTCATCGAGCCATGGGTAAGGTAGTCGCCCGCCTCTAGCGCCAGGGGCGTGACAGGGCCCGGGCTGACCAGAGGATCCAAACGCGGCGCCGAAGGACCTTGGTGAACACTCTCGATGAACTCCCGATACTGCCACATCATGTCACGTGATCCGGTTGCAGTGCGGTAGGTAGACGATCGAGATTGGCGAGGAGATGGAGGCTGGGCAGTGGCGGTGTGAGAAGTGCTACTCGACTGATATACGGCAGGATGGAACCGGGGTAGGCTGCCGAGATGGAAGTTCTGTGTTTGCTTGGCCTTGGATGGGGTCTGGATCCGAGAGCGAGTTGGTTGGGGAGAGTTGGAGCGTCGTGGAGACATGATAGGCGAGGCAGCCGGGGAGTAGTAAGGTGAGTTATCAGAACGCATCCTTGTCGACGCTGGCGGAGGCCGCGATGGATGCTGGTCGCGACGGGCAGGCGGGATTAAAGGAATGTGTCGAAATTTGGCGGATTGAGACGCACGTTCCCAATCGTCAAAATAGGATTCGTGATCAAATCGACCGGTGAGGGGTGTCACAGGAAGGTCCTCGTAGATTGGACCAGGGCGGCTTGGGATAGGAATGGGTCTCGTGGATGAGGATACGGTAAATGAGTCAAAAGCGTCGGTCGGGATGGTATTCGGACAACCGGGTTGACGAGGTGGTGAAGAGGGTGTATCAGTAGACGAGGTGGCTGTCAAATCTCGCAACGAGGAGAGTGACACAGGTGTGGGGTAACCGTGTTTGGTGACCAGACTTTCCCAATAATCTTTTGGCTGGAATGCTAAGTGTTGGTGCGAGGCTGATGATAGGCCTAATCTTGGATTAACACAAAACTGCGATTGCCATACGTGTTTAGCGAAGAATGTATGAAAAAAAAAATTATCACGATAGCCGACGGATGATTGTTGACCACATGTGTGTCATCGAGGGGTGGAAAGTTTGAGATGGAAATGACAGGGGGTGTGGGCCAATGGTGAGGGGGAAAGACACCCAGCACCTCAAAAAATGGGGAGAATCACAGTGTATCCTTGAGCCACTTACCTAGGGAAAATGAACTACAATATGATGAAGGATAGAAAGAAGAGGAAGAGGAAGATGAAGACAAGGAAGAAAAGGAATGTGAAAAAGGGGAATCTAAGGGATAATGTTTTCGCATCTGGTTTCTCTTCCCGGTTAGTGTGCATGAAGCACTTGCGGGGTGGGAATCTCCACCAAATATTATTAGAACAAAAAGAAATTGAAAATATCAAAATGTAAGGGAAAGGCAAGAAACTGGGGTATTAAAAAAAAGATTTCAATACCAAAAAGAGAGATCTTACTATAGATTCTGAGTCCACTGTCTCTATCCAGAGCACTTTCTTAGATCCAGAAGTCCAAGGTTGAGAACGGGATGACGAATGTGCCGCTGCAATAGTGGAGCTTCTAAGATCTTCAAGACGGCTCTTAGGAAATTGCCTCTGTTGTAGGGAGAGGGGAGATATGAAGAAAAAAGGGGACTGTGAGGAAATGCTCTTCTTTAAAAGCTCCGGGTCAGGCACCTGTGTAACCCGTTCATCCAGGTATATATCTCTCCACGCGCAACCGCCCGGTGACCCCATAACCTTCTTCCAAGGGCCAGACCTAACCTCAGAAAAGAAAAATGACTTCTTCAGGTCTCAAATTGAGATAATCCAGTTTTAATGAAGTGGGCGTGGGTGTGTCCAGAGTGAAAATGGGTAAATATCCCCGTCCATTTGCGAGTGATTGACCAGGGTCATGCGACAAGCTGGTCATTTCTGATTTGCACGCGTCTTGACTCAATGCAGTGACGTCCTAACTACCCATGTCATCCGTCTCCTTCTACTAAAGCTAAGCAATCCCGAAGCTGCGATAGGAGATTCCTTCCAGCCAACCAAGTTCCCGACCCACAACGACCCCTTAGCCGGAACAGTGACGCACTTGACTACAAGGCTGCAGAATTGGTTATCTTTAGAACAGGATTGATTTCCATCTTCAAAGGGGGTTCTTATGTTGTCTTTGGGTTGAGCCATAATTTTCCTAGGCACAGAGTGACAACTGATGATCCGCTAGAGCCACAAGCTGATCAAAGGCACAAAAAGCACTTCGTAAATTAGGGCAACGTACTCCGTCCTCCATACTCATTTATTCAGTCTTGATTTGGCGAGCTGCAGAAAGGGCTGGCTTTGATTTAATCACCGCGTACTTTGCCCAGATGCATGCATATCTAGAGATGATTTCTAAACCAGACGCTTTTATAATTAAACACCCGTGTGGCATAACATCGTAATACTAACAAGTAAACACCCCATGCCTGATGGATGGTAAAATCGAGGTAGTAAGTTTCGGCAGCTTTATCCTTTGCCCCTGCCTAATGGGAGGTTTGTGCCCTCTTAGAGCTTTCTGCTGTACTCCGTACTACATGAGGAAGCGGGTGAAACTTACTAGCGAGGAGTCTGTAGTCCCAATTCAAATTCTAGTTCCAAGTCCATAAGGGGGGGAAAAAAGGAGTTCATGGCCTCGGCCCCTCGCCCCCACCACGGATATTATCTGACGCAGTGAAATCGACCTGAGAATCTGATTCGGAATATTTCCCATCTCAAAAGGCCCGAAACTGCACAAAATGGCAACAAAACAGGCGGGCCTTCTTTCCCACGGCCCTCAACCATCTAACGCGACAAAGCTACGTGTCAACATCCCTCCAGAGCTCCGACAATTTCCAAAGTTGAAATCAAATTCAACCTCTCCCTCTCCCCAAACGATCGATGATCAAAAGAGAGTAACTAACCGGTATAATCTCAAACTTGACTGGCCCACACATCCACGGAAGTCAACTACTTTGTTATTCCGACCTAGTGCTAACCGACACATGTCACCATTCATACTGTCGGTTGGCATCCAAATTGTGGAGAATCACTCGACAGCCTGGTGTAAGGAGGGTTTGAGTCGCATACAGTGGCTTACAGGCGTCGAATAAGGCGGGCTTAGCGGCGGCTTGCTGCATGGAGTTTCGGGCAGAGGGGATTCTCTAATGGAATAGTGTGGTACCCGATGCGGGTGCGCGGGGCTAGGTGGGTTGTTTGTTAGTGGGTCGTAGTATGGGTTTACTGTGCGCTAGGAAAGTGGGCTGATCTACTTCGTCCTCCGTACAGCGCATCGATCTAACACTCGGACTGGAGTTATTGGGCTGACAGCAAGCGGGAAGCCGGGGTGCCCTAGCAAAGTGTCCCGCTTCCACTACCGAACAATCTGGATCATGCTGAGTCTAGACTGTCGCTTTGTTCGAAGCTGTACGCCGTTACGAGATACCCACCACACCAGCAGAATTTCATAAAATGGCCGAGACAACCCAACAAGCATGTGGGACCAACATTTGCCCATTTTTTGGATTATTGGAAGCGTAGGGGTCAGAATGTTAACACCCAATACATACCGTGCGTGGTTGGAGGTTGCTTCTGCAGCTGTGGGGAAGTTTGGGTGGACATCTCCGAGTAGCAGCATGTCCATCGTGTCCATCGTGTCCATCGTGCCCATTGTGCCCATCTGGTTAACATCTGATGCCCAAAATCCGAAGACGATAAAACTGATCCATTACGTGTATCTAAGCGACCAGTAAGACATTATGTTCAACATGAGTTGGAAATGTTTCTTGAAATAGAGCATTGACACGACATAGACTATTAACATACGAGCCAGAGCTAGCACAAGAACAGTGAAGTGAAGCCTCAGATTCGCAACAGAAACCCCCACTGCAGATTGCATATTTATGTCCAGATCTAGGTTCATCTTCCCGCGCCTATCGTCGATGCAGCTAGTCTAAGAATGCTCCAGTCGTGAACGCCGACACAATAGTGGCCCCGCCCCATGCGAGAAATGAACAACCTATCTGTCCGCTGTGATAGTCATACACATCATACATTACACTCGAGATGCTTTGTCATGGAAGCATAGGAACTGCAATAGCTATTGTCAACGATCATCAAGACCAGGTGGGATCCTAGACCAGCGAGGGTAAAAGACAGGATGGGCAGAGGGTTGCTTAGTCTGGATTTTGTACTGTTGATTGCTACTCGGAGTTCCAAGTTGAACGCTACTTTCTGGTGAATCAACCTGTAGCGGGTGATTTTCTGCGTGTCTAACTGATGAGGGTCTACGGGTAATAGGGGAATAGTTTTAGGAGCTTTGGGTAGCCCAAAAGCCAGTGTCCTTGAGTGAGGACTACCTGGCACGGATAAGCTCCTATGGTCGTTGCGAGTGCGGACTAACTTTCTTAAATGATCAAACCTGTATGGGCTGATATTGGCGAGAATTCCTTTGCAGATATTTGGAATAGTGCACGAGATGACTTTTGCGTCTTATAGCCGCCAATCGCACAGAGACGGTGGAAGGATAGACTCCTTACTTCATATAATAGTTGGTGGAAGCCAAGGTTCTTCGAGTCTTTGGGCCCTATCCGTCCTGAAACCCCTTCATACTTCATATTGGGATATAGGGTAGATTGAATTTTAGCTTGCGCTATTTTCTTCGCCCTGAACGAAAGAAGCATACATATATATGTGTAGCCCAGTAGTAAGTTTGTCAAATATACAGCGAATCGTTATTGATGCACTCTATTTGCATACAAAAAGTTTAAATGCGGCCCAGACACCCCAGACATGCCTACCTTGATAAAGGGAGAGACGTATACGACTCAGCTCCAAATGAACAAGATAGCAGTAAGAAGCATCAAAGGAAGGCTTTCGCGGGGTTAGGCACGGTCACCTGACAGTTCTTTAAATGAACCAATAGGAGTGCCCACTGATAGCGGGATTTCTGACTCATCCCGCGATACTGCTGGAGGGGCAACAGAAGAAATTCACCACATCCCGAACCATAAAATAAAGTGAGGACCGGCCTTTGATTGCAGCAATTGAGAAAACTAAACTGACAAATTTCTAACGGAAGAAATAACCATGGCCAACGAAGCAACCCAGCCTCCGGCACTCAACTCGTTGAGCATCAATGAGAAAACCTCGGACAGCAAGGCCATTGGCCAGATCGTCACGCCCTTCGATGTCTCCGGCGGGGTTGATGAATCTGGCAAGCTGCTGCCAGTCGACTATGAGAAGCTCACCAGGGAGTTTGGAGCCACCCCCATCAATGCAGCTCTACTGGAACGATTTGAGAAAGTGACAGGTCATCGGCCACACCGTTTCATGCGCCGGAGTATTGTGTTCAGTCACCGTGATCTGTCGAAAATTCTGGACAAGCATGAGAAGGGTGAGCCATTCTTCCTCTACACTGGTCGTGGGCCGAGTAGCGACAGCATGCACGTTGGACACACCGTGCCGTTCGAGTTCACCAAGTATGTCTAGTCTCGATGACCGCCTGCGTAGATACCGGAAACTGA